TCGACCCCTCTTCAAGAATTTTGGCCGAAGCACAAATTCCTTTCCAAAGATTTGAGTTATTTCTCCTCCTTTTCATTGTTGCAATGCAAGCTCCTTCCTTCATGTATTTCTTAGTAAGCACCTTAGCTCACGTCGTCTCTTGTTCCTTTAAAATTCTCCAACCCATCTTTGCCAAAAGAGTCTCATTCATATGGCGCATGGATTTTATTCCTAGACCGCCTCCCTCTTTTGGTTGTGTCACAATCTCCCAGTTCACGAGGCTTGTTTTCCTTGTTTGACCATCCCCGCCCCAAAGGAAGCTGCGAGTTTGTTTGTTAATTGCATCACAGATTCCCTTCGGGATGTACCGTCTGCATGGCATATGAAGGGATAGCGTTAATAACCGATTAAATAAGAACTTGTCTACCTTCAAGGGTTAGATGTCTCGACATCCAGCCCTCCAACCGTCCTCGAACTCTTTCCAGGATGCCTTTGCAGTGATCCGTTGTAATTCGTCCATGAAGATATGGAACTCCAAGATATCTCCCAAGATCATCAGTTATCGGGATTCCAGCGATAGTCGCTAGATTTTCAGCCTCATTCCTGTTCATATTATTAGAAAAGAAAACATTAGATTTTTGTTTATTAACTTTCTGACCAGAGGCCATGCAGAACATGTCAAGACAATTCATGATAGTTCGCATTTGGTCCTCATTAGCTTCGGCAAACAGGACCATGTCATCCGCAAAAAAAAAAAGATAGGATATAGTAGGGCCTTCTTTGTTCACTTCTATTCCTTTCCAAAGGCCTTGGGCCACCGCATCATTTATGATATGGCCCAATTTTTCAATACACAAAACAAAAAGATAAGGGGAAATAGGGTCTCCCTGTCTTATTCCTCTTTGAGGTTTAAAAACCTCAAGATTTTCTCCCTCCCAAAGAGCAGACATTGTAGGTGATTCCACACACTTCATTATGTTGCGGACCCAATCATTGTTTAAACCAATATCCTGCAACGTTTTCCGAATGAAATCCCAACTCAAACGGTCGTACGCTTTTTCCATATCAATCTTCAACACCATGTACTTTTTCTTACTTTTGGTGGTTCTAATCGTATGGAGAACTTCCTGATAAATCACGATATTATCAGTTATCTGACGCTCTGAAACAAAGCTGCTTTGGTTCGGGCAAATAAGATACGGCATGAGAGTCTTGATTCTATTCGTCATCACCTTAGTAATCAGTTTGTACGCCACATTACAAAGGCTGATCGGGCGCAGCTGGCTGACCTTTTCAGGGTTCTTTACCTTAGGAATTAGGACAATATTGGTGTGATTAATCCCCTCAGGTAGGTTACCGCTATCGAAAAGATCCTTAACCAGCTTCACTAGATCAATTTCAAAGGTATTCCATGAATTTTGATAGAAAAGAGGAATATAGCCATCAGGGCCCGGAGCTTTAAGGGGAGCCATAGCGTTCAGAGCCACTTTCACCTCATCCATCTCCACTACTCAAGTACTCAACTACTCAAATACTCAGTAATCAGCATTCAGCATTCATTCATTCCTCCTCTTCCTGCTCAATTATAAAATCATTAAAGCCAATAAAGACAAAGAGAACTACACGTCTACATATCAACTCAAGTTAATAAAAAAAAAAGGCTCAGATTGCTTTTTTTTTCATATCATGTTAGAGTTGGGGGCAAATTGCTTCATGAGTTTTGTCTCAGAGCAACATACCAAACTCTCAAAGTCCTTTTAATTTAGACAAATGGTGGAAGCATCATCATAGCCATAAGAAACACAAACTAAATGAGATTATGAGAGAAAGGGAAGTGATATACCAGAATTTCAGAGAAGGCATAATACCAGAGATCTAACTGAGTAAGGGCAGCAACATTTACAAAAAAGTTACCAAGCCATTTAGCAATTAGCAGTTCTGGAATCTTACCTGAGTTGCCTCAAAGAGTCCACACATTTAGCCATCAAACTTGTAATTTCTATATTTGTGTTAAATATTGTGTCTATATAATATTTCAGAATGATTCTGTTTGAGTGATTGACTTAGCACTGTCGTAGATCAGTGAAAAGTCTTGGTGCGGAAATTAAATCAAACAGAAGTAAAAGCACATAGTATTGTTTACCCAGTTCGATACAACAGTATCTACGTCTGGGGACCACCATCAGTGAGTCCAATCCACTATCTCAACAGCAAATCAAACAGACGGTAAGAGAAAACCTTCTCACCCAATGTGTGCTACACACCACACGGTAATACCCAATCTTTTGAAAGTTATAGAGGATTGTCAAGCTCGGAGATCCGTGCTTCAACGTCCAAAGTCCCTTTGGAGATCCGTGTTGTTGCTGTCCGTCTCGCTGACCCACTCACCACTGTTCCCACAGTTGTATGGAATACGGTCCACTGATTTAAGCTCTGTAGAAATTCTTCCCAAGAGTCTTGTTAAACTCAGATCATCAATGGTGTCTTGAGAAGATGATAACTCAAAGTATTTTCTTTGTAATTCGTGGAGAGAGAATTTTTGGCATTCAAATCTTGAAAGATATTTCTTGTAAAGCTCCTCTCTATTTTTTCTCTCTCACCTTTTTCCCATGTAAACAACTAGTATATATAATACTTTGAGACTTGGATGACAATTAATCTTCTAGGGCTTCCTTGTAGACCAAAATTACTTGCCATTTTTCCTTTTTGCCAATTCTGACTTCATCAAGAATGGTTTCTAAAACATCAATATGGTAACTACTCTGCTGGTCATAAAGGCTGCGAAATCAACTGCTAATTTCCAAAACCCGACTGGCGTAGTGACTGTTCCGCAAGATCATCGCTCAGTGACTGTAACAGACACGACTTGACCTAGCTAGTTTTGCCATAATAATTTTGCCAATTACAAGTTGGGGTTTAACAAAATTTAAACACTAACAAAACTAAACAGAAAGGAGTGTTATATAAACTAATAAATTATAAAAGTATTACAGCAATTGTTTGGAGCGTTCCAACAGTACTTAGTGAAGAACCAGCAGCTCCAGTGGACAATTCTGCACAAAAAGAAAAAACAAAAAAGAGTTTAGAAATTGTAACAATTAACAATTTATAAAGTTGAAACCTAGAAAGTTAAAAAATAGAAAGAGTACCAATATTTTCCAGGAGAACTAGGTCTTCAACTTCACTCTTCAAGCAATCAACACAGGGACACTGGACACAGGGGCTTCCACCAAGGCTTCGCTGGCTTGAGAGTTGAGGCTTCCACCACGGCTCAAGAGTAGGGTTGTGCAGAACGACAGAACCCTCGAAGCCTCTGAGAGACTGAGACTAGTTGAGAAACTTAGAGAAGACAAGAGAGTGAAGAGACTAACTGGCTAACCCTAGTCTGAGTCTCTGAGACTCTGAGAGTGAGAGAGTGAGAGAGAAGTAGAGAAGAGAACTGCGGCTGCGCAGCTGAATAATGAAGCAACCCTAGCGTATATAATGCATATATATATATATATATATATATATATATATATATATATATATATATCACTGCTGGAATTCAGCGTTTTTCCGACCACCCAAAATATTGGTCGCAAAAAATGATTTTTTTCCATTTTTACAACGGAGGGTCACAATGCTCGGAAAGTGGTCGGAATTTCCGGTGCTTCCGACCACTTTTTATATAGTGGTCGGAAGCGTTTCAGTAATTCTAATTTTTCAAATTAGAGTGCATTTTTGACCACCTTAGTTGTCGGAAGTTCCGACCACCCTCGTATTGTGGTCGGACTTATTATTTTTTTCTCTAAAAAGATATATATATATATATATATATATATATATATATATATATATATATATATATATATATTTGGTTCAATGGTATGAATATCACATGATTTATCTTTTTATCATGGACTATTTCACTCATATTCTTTTTTTCTTTTTTCTTTTTCGATTTTAACCATTCACGATGCATAGAGTTTACTACTAGATATCATCTCACCATTCTTGATATGAAAACATTTTCTAACTCAAACTCTTTAAAATCTTTATTTTTGATAGACTCTACAATCCTAGTTCTATTGAGTTTCATAATCCTACATAATATATTGTATATCATTGTGTATTGTACTGCGTATTATTTTATCACATAATACTGTTATGAATATTTTCTATTATATTTTGATGATACCAAATTTAGGAGTTTCAACCCCAAATTCTTTTTATTTCATAGACTTAGGATAAGCCTACTCAACATTTGAATCTTAACCGAATAGTCAATCGAGTGGCTTATACTCGACGAGTCAATCTCTGAACGAACACTCGAGGAGTCAATCTCAATGCCGAGCCGAGGAGTAAACCGAGGGGTTAACTCTCAAACAAAAGAAGGACAACGAGCAAGATCGATGAGGATTGGTTATCTGTGATAAACATTAACAATAAAGAAATATAAAGTATATATGTTACAATAGAAGAGCCCTACTATAAGTTTACTAACTCAGTCCTAATACTCCCCCTCAAGCTCAACATGCCAAAGCAACAACATTGAGCTTGCTCCTAAGAAACATAAAACGGAAATTCAGCAAAGGTTTAGTAAAAACATCTGCTAGCGGATCCTTAATAGAAATAAAGTGAACTGCAGCTCCTTCTTCGCCACTTTATCCCGAACAAAATGGTAGTCGATCTCCAATTGCTTCGTGCGAGCATGAAACACCGAATTAGCAACGTAACCAACACCGGCGTAGTAATGGCATTGCAATCAACCACCGACGATAAAGGAATACCGAGTATATATGTTACAATAGTCGAGTCCTACTATAAGTCTACTAACTCAGCCCTAATATGATAAATCCGAGGGGCAGTATAATCAGAGACGAATGACTACAGAAGATTCAAAGACGAATACTTTCAAGACACGGTAAAAATTACTAAATTAATTAATATTTATTCTAATTAGTGTTTGATATGTGTTAAATTATTTAGATGTGTCTAAAATCATTAAAAATTAAATTATTTAGATATGCCTAGACGACCTCGCCGCTCGCTTCTGCCATTCCAGCTTGCCGTCGCCATTCCACTACTCGCCCAACTCCGCAGTAACATTAGGGTTAGCCCCTTTACTCCCTCCTTTTAATCGCAATTTACTCCCGAATATATGTAGTCGCGGCTGCAATGTTATGCATTTATGTTGTTAATTTTTATTTTATTGACCAAGTATATTATCCTCTGCAAAAGTGTGAATGCAAGGTTTTGAATTTTTTTAAAATTCCTCCTTTTAGTTGTTCCTTGGACTGTGGTTATGCCCCATCATAGTTTTTTTTTTTTTTTTTTGTGTTTTAATTTCAAATTTGACAAAATATTGGATTAGGTGGCTAATTGGGTTCAAATTGGATAGTGCATTGATTGCATTCACTCTGCTGTGTTGAATCTTTAATGCATTTTAGTATTGATGGAATGCTATTGAAGGCTTCCTTCTTGAGATTGGTGTGATGTAGTTTACTGTGTATGTATTTGGTGTATTGCTTACATCTGTGAACAAGATAAGTGCAGCTTATGTATGCTTTAGTTATATGCCCAAATTTTTATTATTTATCAGCTTATGGTACAGAAAAACTTATTAAGCATGCACTGAGTATCAAATTTTCCATTTCTGTTTAGCAACAGTAATGTTTTCATTGACTCATTCACTTGTCTGCCTGAGTGCACTATGAAATATGGAAAAGAAAGGAAAGATAAAAAATGTTGTTACCCTTTGGTGCCTGCTCTTTCTCTGTATCACATTTCCAAATTATCATGGTCGTTGTAATCAACTGGATTTCTAGAATAGTTTGAAACTTCCACAAATAAAAAGTTGTGCATATTGTAGGTACCATATTGCCGGAAGTATGGGTGTATTCTATGATCGTGAACCATATGTCAATGCTGATGCTGCACATGTAACTCGATTTCTAGGCTTAGCATCTGTTGGAAATAAAGAAAAACAGGTTCTGACATTGCTTCATAGCCTTTCTTTTTCCTGTTTTTAATTCTGTTTCATTCTTTTTCTTTGATTTTGACATGCTTATATTTCCACTTTGTAAATTATTTTATATCCTTTTTAGGTGATTATACTTGTTGATAAATTTATTCGGTAATAAATATTTCTCTGATCTAAGCAATTTCATAAAACTTATAGTTTTGGACTAGTGAGGATATAAGTGGTGTTTAATACTTTTGTATGCTGGAGTATAACTTCTATCAATAATTGTTCTGAAGCCCTTCTGAAGCAAATCAGATCATACCAAGTATTACTTAAGCTCTGTTTTTATAATCCAATCATTACAAGTAAACTCCTTAGAGAATTTCTTAGAGCTGATATATTTTAATCAACTAATCTTCCAACATCCGAACCCTAAATGTCCACATAAATTTTCCAAGAAATGGACACATCTATGAATGTGAAGCTTAGTTTCAAATAATGAATTTGTTCCTTTACTTATTTTAATGTCAGATTGAAGGGTCTTCACCTTGCTTGTTCTGTCTAGATATTGAAGCATTGCTCTTTTAGTGCCCACTTGAATCATTTATGTGCTCACTTTCTCTTCGCCTACTCAGGGATCTGTATTGAGAGCATTCACCAATCTGAAAATAAGAAGTCCAACATGTTAGAACTGCTATTGATGAAGCTTGCTAAAGGAAGAGAATAAGTAGATGAAGGAAAAATTGACATGGTTGGAAGTTCAATTTGTTGCATTTAGTGGTGCAAATCAACCATTGGATCCAACCGGTAGCCATGAAAATAGTGGTGTTGGGTTAGATGATCTAAAGCAATAGATCCAAGATTATAACTTTTTTGTGATGTAGGAAATAGCTTCATTGTATTAGCATTTTAGAATTAGAAACTAATTTTTTGAAGGTGGATATTAGAATTGCAACCTTATGTGTAATTAAATTTGCTATTGAAATGTATAATATTTGTGTTATGAAATTATTAGTTTAAAAAATTTGATAAAGCAGTGGATAATTTGTAGGACAATAGTAATATAAATTGTAAATTATTAAAAAAAAAATTATTTATTAATTTCCGACCACCAGTGGTCGGAAATCTGGAACAAGAACATTCTTGTGCCCAGATTTCCGACTACTGGGTTGTCGGAATTTCCGACCATAGGAGGTCGGAAATCTGAATCTGTCCAATTGTTGGGCTCGTCGTTTGAGTCCGGCGACTATAAAAATGTGGTCGTTATTTCCGACCACTTTCTCCAGTGGTCGGAATTAGCGACGGGGCATTTTCCGACTGCCCATTTTGGTCCCGACCCAATTTAGGCTGTTTCCGACCACTTTTGGGTGGTCGGAAATCAGCTGATTTCCAGCAGTGTATATATATATATATATATATATATATATATATATATATATATATATATATATATAGGGTTCGCTTCAAGTAAGAACCCATCCTTAGGTAGGAACTTAAGAACTAATCCAAGCCAATCATTTTTTCCTAATCAATGGTCAAGATTATATTTGTATTTAATGTCCAGATTAAAAAATAATAATAATAAAGGATATTAATGTAATTTTGTATGGCAACCAAATAAAAGGAAATATTATAATGTGATTCTTTCCATGATTTTAGGTGGCGAAAAAAGTAAGAATTCTTTTGGAGTTGTGAATCAATATCCCAATCGTTTCCTCCCAGAAGAAAAAAAATGTTTCTTTCTTTTTTATTGTTAATGGCGACATTCATGTACGAAACTAAAAGTTATGTAAATTCACACATGTTTTCTTCTACCTAGTTTGGGGTAATAATGAGGCACCAAATTAAGTTTGATCAACTCCCCCTACATTTGGGAGGATTGATGTGAAAAGACATTAAATATGTTGGTATGCACATGGGTTGAACTCTGTGTGCCATAATGTGTAATTATTATGACAAAATGAATTCATGGACAACGGGTTAATGTGATAGAATAGAATGTGCACTTAGGTTAAACTGTGTATGCCGTAATGTGCATAATTAGTGTGTGTGTGAAAAGACTTTAAACAAGTTGGTGTGCACTTGGGTTAAACTGTGTGTGTCATAATGTGCAATAATACTAACAAAATGAATTCACGAAAACTAGATTGATGTGATAGACTATGGTGAGCATTTGGGTTAAACTGTGCGTGCCATATCGAAACAAGTTGGTGTGCACTTGGGTTGATAGATTATGGTGTGCATTTGGGTTACACCGTGTCTACCATAATTTGCAGAATTAGTTCAAGTATGAAAAGAAGTTAAACATTTTGGTGTGCACTTGGATTGTGTTGTGTGAGCCATAATGTGCAAAAATACTAAAAGAATGAATTCACAAAAACTAAATTGATGTTAAAGACAATGTTGTGCACTTGGATTAAAATGCATGTGCCATAATGTAAATAATGAGTGTGTGGATGAAAAGACGTAAAACAAGTTGGCGTGCACTTGGGTTGAACTGTGTGCACTTTGGTTAATAGATTAGGGTGTGCACTTGGGTTGCTATGTGCACTTGAGTTACACTGTGTGTGCCATAATTTGCAGAATTAATTTCTATATGAAAAGATGTTACACATTTTGGTGTGCACTTGGATTGTGTTGTGTGTGCACTTAGATAGAATTGTCTGTGCACATAGATAGAATTGTGTGTGCACTTGGGTTAACGAGTTTGTGTCATGATGCTCATGAAAACTGATATACGAAATACCGTGTGTACTTAGGTTAGCGAATATTTGCATGCCCCTGTATACAACTGTGCATGCACCAATACCCCCTAAACGTGTTTAACAGTAAACATGTGACTAACGTTAATGATCAATCACTGATTTGAGAATAGATACCTGGGGTACACTCAAAATTTTATTTTATTTCTTTTAAAGAAAAACTATGTCATCCTATGAACAATAACGTGTTTGTATCTAAATTCATCAAACAATTAACATAGTACATCATAAACATTATGGTAATTCTAGAAATGATAAAATAAAGGGTTGATTATAAAGTAGAAGCAAAATGTAAAGTGTGGGGAGGGTGACATGATGTTAATGTGTTTTGGCTGCATGCGGGAAAAACAACATGTGTTTACCCAGGCTTGGCATTTCCTTTGTTGCAATCCTATCTACCTGCTATGCATGGTGGAATTCAAACCCTGTGCTTCAAACGCTCAACGGTGGTGGTCCGCCATCGGCAAACTCTCGCAATTTGAAATGGCAAAACCTGGATATATAAATTATAATATTATACTTGAGATCAGCATCATTGGGCAAATAATATACTTTACTGTTGTCCCAGCATCAGGAATGCCAAATTTCAACTCTCTTATTTACAACACTTCCTTTATGGCTATGAGTACAGGGAGAACTATTCTTTCACACTTTATCAGGGTAAATATGGCATTATTTTGACTAATCCAAATATAAAAGAGAGCAATTAATACAAAAGCTCACAAGGAAAGAAATCATTTAATGTACAAAAAGCAAACAAAAATGCAAGACTTTACAAGAGTTAATGATTTATGTTTTCGTGGGACTCCAATAGAGACCTTTGCTTAGATTTCACCTATCCCAATATAAAATCAAACTAATACCTTGGTGCAGTATGGAGGAAGCTTCAAGTAATTGGCACAAGTCATCACACTAGGTAGGTCCACATTTGCAAATTCGGATGCGGCATTACCACTGATGTGTTTTCCGTGGATGAAGAATGTTGTTTGATAATCCAAAAAATAGCCAATCAAGCACTTAAAAAAGAAAAGAAAAAAAAACACAACAGAGAGAAAAATCCATGTTGAAGATTATATTGGAATATGCAGGCATATACCTTCCTCACAATTGTTAACTTCAGATTCAACACTTCAAATTGAAGAAAGCGAATGGCGACAGGGCGTGAATCGGATTGAGAACAAAAGCAGGGAAAACGAAGGACTCCTATTCAATTCCAAACTGATGTCTGAATGAGAGGAAAACAGAAGCAGCGTAAGCCGAAAATTATGCACTCACATCCCAGATCTGCGGTTAAAAATCCTAAACTACCCCTAATTGCCGTTAATAAAATCCCTCTAACGTAAAATAACCTATTAAAACTATTAAAAATATAAACCATTGATTAATCAAGATAAAAGGCTAAGATTAGTTCCTATGTTCCTACCTAAAGATGGGTTCTTATATAATTGTAATTCTATATATATATATATATATATATATATATAATTCCTACACGACGTCGTATTATTTATATACATATAATAATCATATTCATTAAGGATGAATTAGGAAATCTTAAGGAAAAATTAAAATCTGATCAATCTGAGCCATTCATTTGATTAAAAAATTTGACCATCATTTTTTAACCCATTATAGGCCTAACTCTCTTTGGCTCTTATTAGTATATATAATAGATAATAATAATCAGTCAATTAGAATATAAAAATCTATACTATTATTAAAAATAAAATTCTCCTTTATCGCATTCCCGCCAAACACTTCCGTCCAAACAATAGAAAAGAAATAATCTATACTTCTATACTATATATAAAAACAAAATCCTGAACTTTAACTTCCCGCCCAAATCCTAAAAAATCTCTCTTTCTAATAAAATATATTGATTTCTAGTTTTCAATTCGTACAATAATTCTGCGTGAAAATTCTATTCTAATATTATAAAATAGTATAATACAATTCGTAATACAATCTATACTATCTATCTATACTATACTATATATAAAAACAAAATGCTGAACTTTAACTTCCCGCCCAAATCCTAGAAAATCTCTCTTTCTAATAAAATATATTAATTTATACTTTCCCATTCGTACTATAATTCTGGGTTAAAATTCTATTCTAATATTATAAAATAGTGTAATACAATTTATACTATATATAAAAACAAAATCCTGAACTTTAACTTCCCGCCCAAATCCTAAAAAATCTCTCTTTCTAATAAAATATATTAATTTCTACTTTTCAATTCGTACAATAATTGTGGGTGAAAATTATATTCTAATATTATAAAATAGTGTAATACAATTTGTAATACAATCTATACTATATATAAAAACAAAATCTTGAACTTTAACTTCCCGCCCAAATCCTAAAAAAATCTCTCTTTCTAATAAAATATATTGATTTATACTTTCACATTCGAAGTATAATTCTGGGTTTATTATATATAAAAAACAAAATCCTGAGCTTTAACTTCCCGCCTAAATCCTAAAAAATCTCTCTTTCTAATAAAATATATTGAAAGGTGTGAGGTGGAGGAGAGAGGAGAGATGAGAGACGAGAGAGAGGGGAGAGTGTGTTGCAGACTTGCAGGAGCTGTGGTTCTTTGTCCCCTTATGTGGGTATTTTTTTCTTTTTCTTTTGCTAAAATTTGTTTTTTGTTTTTTATTTTTATTTTTTAACCTCCTTCCCTAATTTTATCTTTCCTAATCACACCTATAAAAACTACCCCAATATCCTCACTATTGAGGATGCCTAAAGGCAATAAAAGAAATCCACGTCACAACAATTGAATGGTGAAAAATTCACTTTGCAATTAATTAAGAGACGAAAAATTGTGATAATATATTCAAATAATATACTTTCCTATTCGTACTATAATGTGGGTTAAAATTCTATTCTAATATTATAAAATAGTGTAATACAATTCGTAATACAATCTATCTATACTATATATAAAAAAACAAAATCCTGAACTTTAACTTCCCACCAAAATCATAAAAAATCTCTCTTTCTAATAAAATATATTGATTTATACTTTATCATTTGTACTATAATTCTGGGTTAAAATTCTATTCTAATATTATAAAACAGTGTAATACAATTCGTAATACAATCTATCTATACTATATATAAAAACAAAACCCTGAACTTTAACTCCCCGTCCAAATCCTAAAAAATCTCTCTTTCTAATAAAATATAGGAATAAGGTCCAAATTGGTCCCTAAACAAAACGTGAAAGTGCAATTTGGTCCCTGAACGTAAAAGAAGTGCAATTACCCCCTCAACATCTCAAATATGTGCAATTTGACCTGATAGCAGGTTAACATCCCATCCAACCGGTAATATGATGATGTGTATGCTGACTTGGCATTTTTTTTTAATTTCCTTTTATTTCCTTTTCTTCCATTCACCGTGTATTAAGGCAAAGCTTCAATAGAAATTCCCAAACCACGCATCAAAATTCCCAAACCTGCATCAGAAATTCCATTCATCGTGTACCTGCATAAGAAATTCCATTCACCGTGTACCTGCATCAGAAATTCCCAAACCACGCCCGTGAAAGCTATTAACTTGTTCGTTGTTAATATAACTATGTAAAATTGAATATTTTTTCATGAAATTTATCCTGCTTGTAAATTTGAGAGAAGATATCGATGGTGGAATATTACAACTGCTAGAGTTAGTTGTTTTGTAAAGAAGAAGACAAAAGAATGAAATAAAACAAATGCCAAGTCATCATCCACGTCACACATGCAACCTGCTAGATGGGATGTTAACCTGCTATCAGGTCAAATTGCACATATTTGAAGTGTTGAGGGGGGTAATTGCACTTTTTTTTATGTTTAGGGACCTAATTGCACTTTCACGTTTTGTTCAGGGGCCAATTTGGACCTTATTCCTAAAATATATTGATTTATACTTTCCCATTCGTACTATAATTCTGCGTTAAAATTATATTATAATATTATAAAATAGTCTAATACAATTCGTATTATAATATATACTATATATAAAAACAAAATCATGAACTTTAACTTCCTGTCCAATTCCTAAAAAATCTCTCTTTCTAATAAAATATATTGATTTCTACTTCTCCATTCGTACAATAATTCTGGGTTGAAATTCTATTCTAATATTATAAAATAGTGTAATACTATTCCTATTCTAATCTATATCCATACTATATATCAGGAATCGGCCTCCTTCGCGGCCGCCTAGCCGGCTGAACCGGCGATTAATTTTTTTTTTTTTTTTTTTTTTTTAAGTTTTAAAGTGTCAAAAGTTCGACAAGGCATAACTTTTGACTCAGTTGTCCGTTTTGGACTAATTTTTTTTGAAATCGCGTATTTTTTCGAGATCTATCCACCGCAAACTGCCGTAGGCGGTTTGGCCCACCAAGTTCTCAAAAAAAAAATGCTTCATTAAATAGTTTTTATGAAAAAACTATGAGAACTTTATGTTTTATTAATGAATTTTTAAAATTTTTAATTAAAAAATTATCCCGTGCATTATTTAATGATATCTCTTTCTTTTTTTTTTTTTTGAATAAATGATATCTCTTTCTAATTGGTCAAATTATTTAATTATGGTAAATTAGGGAATAATTAATTATGGTAATAGAAATCCTAGAATAATATAGAATAGAAGAATATTTAATTATTGTTATATTATTATTGTGACTCACGAAATATAGTACAAGAATATTTAATTATGCATATATAATTATTTTGCCTCACAACCATTATATACTAACAGAACTTGAAAGGAAACTAATAATAATAATATAAGTGGTAATAATAATATCTAAAAGTAATTAAGTGTTAATAATAATAGTAAGAATATTAACGACGTAAGAATTATAACATAGAATAAAACGTAATAATTACACCAAAAAAAAAAAATAAAACGTAATAATTAATAACTATAGTATGAGACTAAATTTGGAATTGTCAGGAAAGATAAGCGACCTCTGGTGAAATTAACAATTCCATTCCGTGCATCACACGGGTGAAAATACTAGTAATAAGTAATACTTATTAAGTAATTTCCGTTTCTTTTTATATAATAATCAGTAATACTTATTAAGAAACAATAATAATCATTCAATTATGGAATAATAATAATAATAATCATTATTCTATAGAAAAGGAATAATAATCATTAATACTTATTAAGTAACTAGTTTTTCTACGCGCTTTGCGCGAATAGGATAATGCCCAATACTTACTTTTAAATAAGTATTTCATAGTATATCAATGTAATATTATATAGAAGATGTTCATGCATAGGTAAATAAATGTTGAATTTGTTTATTTAAATCGGTAATTTAAAATATATAAATGCAAGATAATATATGAGAGATTGATTATATATAACTGTAACAAAAATAAATGTTTGCAACTTTGTAATAACGTTAATCTAAGTACTAAGTCTAAAAGTGATAGTCTAAATAAATACTATTTTTGGTTTAAATGTTTCTAATTCTCTTTTAGGTAGCATTGTTATTGTTTTCATTTTCAATACATGTCTTCTTCTTTTTCTTCTTTTTTTTTTTTGGTAGTGTGTCATGTGCAATTGGTTTATTGGTAGTATCATAGAGGGATTCATCATGCAATGAGATTATGGTGTATGAAGTTTTAAATTTGTCTTGTCGTGTATATGACTGGGATCTTAGTTGTGCTATGAACTATTTATCTTACAAGCACATGTTGATATTTGGTAGTGGTAGTTTTCCCTACATGGTTCATGTGTTGTGAGACATCTAATTCTAAATTAATTAAATGCATATATATTATTTTTTGTTGTAGCTACCAATTTATTTTTTAATTTAACTAATAAGAGCAATAAAGTGGGAAAATTATGATGTAGAACCGTGTCCACACACGGTTCCAAAATTGTTCATAATTATGAATATATAGTTCAAAAATTATGAACATAAAGTTGTGAACATAATTATGAACATATAGTTCTGTAATTATGAATATAGAGATTCAATAATTGTGAATATTAAGTTAAAAAGTTATGAATATATAGCTTTATAATTATGAACATATAGTTCAATAATTATGAACATAGAGTTCTGTAATTGTGAATATAGAGTTCAATACTTATGAATATGAAGTTAAAAAATTATGAATATATAGCTTTATAATTATGAACATATAGTTCAGTAATTATGAACATAGAACTGTGTCCACATTGCAAGGTGGACACAGTTCCACAGCATAACGATTGAATAAAGTGGCGTACATACTTTTCATTCACAATAATGAAATCATTGATTTTTTTTTTAAATTTCCATTCGTTGTTGACACAAATTGTTTTGAGAGTTTGTCAATGACAATTGCTGTCAATAGATGATGATAATAAATAATTCAAAATATAAGGTTACAATAGATATTGTTATAATAATATAGTAAAAATTAACTTACAAATTTCTTTAGAAGTTTTCATGCACTGATAAAAGCATAATTGAAATATTAAGTTTTGTTCTCAATAATCAAAAGAAGATTAATTAAACGAAAAAAAAAAATTAAACTTAAATTTATTATTTTTTTACTGAAAGAAAATCAAATGATTATCAAAGTTCCTGATTTATAATCATTGAATGCTATGTATTTCGTCGGGCTAATTATTTGACCAAAGTTTATGTTAAATTTTATATTTTATTTTTTTTAATACATTTTAACATATTCGTAGTATATGTTTAACAATTATGCTAACTCTAATTGGAATTAGGTTCGAACCTAAGACCTTTCTTATAGAAATTAATGAGTAAGTTAAGAATAATAAATAGTTAACGGAATATTCCGTTAATAAAGTTTATACTAACGAAATTTAAGGTTATTTAAGGAAAGAAAATAATATAATAAAGGGTAAATAAGGAAAATCATTAAAAATACTAAAATCAAAATACTACGAATCATTCATTTTAAGAAACAAGTAGTACCGACATTTGTTTTTTATTCCAGTTAACGGCCTAATATTATTGGCTCTTATTATAATTGTAGATAATTGTAGATGTAGATTGTAGATAATTGTAGATAATAATCAATAATATTTTTCTTTTCTATTTTCAGTCAATTAGGGACCTTTTTTATAATAATCAGTAATACTTATTAAGAGACTAGTTTTTTACGCGTATTGCGCGATTGGGATAATGCCCAATGTTTTTTTTAAAATAAGTATTTTAAAGTATATCAAGACAAGATTATATTGGAATTGTTCTTGCATAGATAATTGAATGTTAAATTTGCATATTTAAATAGACAATTCTAAGATTACAAATGCAAGATAATATAGTCAAGATTGATTATAATTGTCAATAAAATAATTGTATAGGTATGGTTGAAACCAAATACGGGACATAAGGGAGAGAAAATAAAAATTATGGCATAAAATATTAAATATATACTAATATTGAAGAGCTAATTGCTGATTGTCAAACAAGGACATTACGAGATAGTTTCCCACTTCAATTTGTTGTGTGATTTGAATACTCTTGTTGTCAATAAATCCCCAAAGTAGTTAATATGATTGACTTAATTATATTTTTTTAATTTTTTTAATTTTTTAAAACTATTATTATTATTATTATTATTATTATTATTATTATTATTATTATTGTTGTTGTTGTTGTTGTTGTTGTTGTTGTTGTTATTGTTGTTGTTGATGATGTTATTGTTGTTGTTGTTGTTGTTATTATTATTATTATTATTATTATTATTATTATTATTATTATTATTATTATTATTATTATTATTATTATACCCTTAGCTCATTTTAGATGTTAATCTAAACAACTAATTTTTTCAAATATATTTTTACCAACCATTGATATAATTCGCTGGTCAAATTCGCTAATATAATCCGCTAACGCTAACCGCTAACTGCTGATTGTCAAACAAGGACATTGCGAGGTAGTTCTCACTTCAATTTGTTGTGTGATTTGAATACTCTCTTTGTCAACAAATCACTCAAAGTAGTTAATATGATTGGCTTTATTAATTATATTTTTTTAATTTTTTCATGGTATTAATAAAATACTTGGTAAATAAATATATAACATTATTTTGCATTATAACTTTGATCTTTAATTAAAAAATAATGCACATAAAAGATAATAGACAATGTAGTGAATATAATCAATTGATGAATTCGAATGTAAAGAATTTTTACATTGGAGAAATATAAAGACAATATAACTAATAAAATTATTTCTTTTAATTAATTTATTGATAATGAATAATTTTTTTTAAATAAAGCATTGTAGGGACAATGTAGCGAATATAATCAATTGATGAATTTGAATGTAAAGAATTTTTATATTGGAGAAAAATAAATACAATATAACTAATAAAATTATTTCTGTTATTTAATTTATAGATAATGAATAATTTTTTTTTTGAATAAAGACATTGTAGACACATAATTCTAAATTAAAGAAAGCATATGTATTATTTTTTTTTGTAGCTACTAAATTATTACGGAGTATTTAATTTAATAAGAGTAAAATAGAGTAGTAATTATGCCAACTGTGATTGGGATGAGGTTCGAACCTAAGACCTTTCTTATTGAAATCAATGAGTAAGTTAACGGTGAACTAACAAAAATTAACAGAAAAGATAATATTTAACGGAAAAGTTAACGGAAAATCATATTCATTAAGGATAAATTAGGAAACCTTAAGGAAAAATTAAAATCTGATCAATCTGAGCCCTTCATTTGATTAAAAAATTTAACCGCCATTTTTTCTACCCATTATAGGCCTAACTCTCTTGGGCTCTTATTAGTGTATATATATATATATATATATATATAGTTGATAATAATAATCAGTCAATTATTTTAATAATCTATACTATTATTAAAAATAAAATCCTCCTTTATTGCATTCCCGCCCAAACACTCCTGTCCAAACAATAATCTATACTAGTATTTTTACCTGTGCGATGCACGGAATGAATTTGTTGTAATATATTAAGAATATTTGAATCGATATATAATTATTTAAATTAGAACATCAAATATTAGATAGTGCAAATTCTTTCTTTCATTTTTCCTTTTCTATTGTTTGGGCATAAGTGTTTGGGCAAGAATGAAAGAAAGAAATTGTTTTTAATAATAAGTATAGTTAGATTATTAGCTTAGTTATCATAATAATTATTTGTCAATTATACTAAAGGTGCGTTTGAAAACCGAAAAAATGCTTCAATAAATCATTTTCTGGGTGTTCTGTGTTTGGCTTGAGAGGGAAATTTTCTGAAAAGTGACTTTTTTTTTTTTTTTTTTTTTTTTTTTTGAGGAAGTCATTTTCCGTTTGCAACAGTGGAGCAGCCATTCATCCACCGCCGCCCATCACCACTGAATACAGCCAAAATTAATGTTGCATCGAATTTAAAATAAAAATTTTTATATTATAAACAAAACAATAAAAACGTTTTTGTTTTGATATATAACAATTAAAATGTTTAAGTATACAATTTACTCATTTTCCTATTAATTTTATGAAAAATGAACCAAATACACAAAGACATTTTTTGAAAAATGACTCAAATACACACAAAGATAATTTTTCAAATACACAAAGACATTTTCTGAAAAATGAATCAAATACACAAAGATAATTTTCTGCTGTGCAACCAAAACATTGAAAAGAAAAATATTTTTTGAAAATTAACTCATTTTCTAGAAATTATTTTCCTACATTCCAAACGAACTTTAATATCCGTACAATTAATTGCTTAATTTTCATAATAATTATTAGATAATAGTCTTGTTCGATTATTGACAAATTCACCAAAATTTTAACAAATTCGTCATTTTAACAATTTATTTTTAAACAAAACACCAAAATATTATTTAATAACTCTGCAATTTACTCCAAACTCCTAAAAACAAAAACAACACACATACATTTGGAGAAAGATTAAGATTAATCATTTCCCAAAATCCCTTAATAAATAAATTAATTAATTAAAAAAACTAAAATAAAAAGTGATTAAGACTTTTTATATAAGAGTCTTTTGGTTTCTCAATACTTGTCCACGTTGATGGGCAAGCAATTATGTTTGGAAGATGAGCTCCTCTTTCCAAACATTTTTGATGTGGGATCAAAATGATCCCACATCATTTACAAAATTTTTTAATTTTAATTTTATTTTGTATATAGTTTTGTTTTGATTAATTATTATATTATTAATATTATTTTTATTCTAATTTTATTTTATTATTACATTATTATTACATAATAATAATAATATAAATTTTCTTTTAGATAATTTTTTATTGTTTAGCCAAATTAAAGATTAAAAATAAATGTTTTCTTAAGGCTTCTTAAATAAGAGCCTTTTTGGCTAATGCTCATCGATCAACACTTAATTACTTTTAGATATTATTATTACTATTATTAAAAATAAAATCCTCCTTTATTGCATTCCCGCCCAAACACTCCTGTCCAAACAATAATCTATACTAGTATTTTCACCTGTGCGATGTACGGAATGGAATTGTTGTAATATATTAAGAATATTTAAATTAATATATAATTATTTTAAGAGTTAATTTCACCGGAGGTCGTTTATCTTTCCTGACAATTCCAAATTTAATTCTAGACTATAGTTATTAATTATTACGATTTATTCTATGTTATAATTCTTACGTTAATATTCTTACTATTATTATTAACACTTAATTACTTTTAGATATCATTTTTACCAATTATTATTATTATTATTATTATTATTATTATTATTATTATTATTATTATTATTATTATTATTATTATTAGTTTCTTTTCAAGTTCTGTTAGTAAATAATGGCCGTGAGGCACAATAATAATATAACCATAATTAAATATTCTTGTATTGTATTCCGTGAGTCACAATAATAATATAACAATAATTAAATATTCTTCAATTAATAAATTCATTAAAAAGAGATATTATTAAATAATGCACGGGACAATTTTTTTAATTAAAAAATTAAAAAATTCATTAATAAAACATAAGGTTCTCATAGTTATTTCTTAGAAACTATTTAATAAAGCATTTTTGTTTTAGAAATTAGTGCGCCAAACCGCCTACGACAGTTTGTGGATGATAGATCTCAAAAAAATACGCAATTTCAAAAAAATATTTGTCCAAAACGGACAACCGAGTCAAAATTTATGCCTTGTCAAACTTTTGACACTTTACAACTTAAAAAAAAAAAATAATAATCACCGGTTCAGCAGGTGAGGCGGCAACGAAGGAGGCCGATTCCGGCCTTCCTCGCCGCGGCCAGCGGCGCGATTTTTGAAACACTGATATATAGTATAGATAGAATAGGAATAGTATTACACAATTTTATAATATTAGAATAAACTTTTAACTTAGAATTATTGTAGAAATCAATATCTTTTATTGGGAAAGAGAGATTTTTTAGGAATTGGGCGGGAAGTTAAAATTTCAGGATTTTGTTATTATATATAGTAAGTATAGATAGATAGATAGATAGATATAGATTAGATTGCAATAGGAATTGCATTACACTATTTTATAATTTTAGAATAGAATTTTTACGCGGAATTATTGTACGAATCGGAAAGTAGAAATCAATATATTTTATTGGGAAGAGAGATTTTTTTAGGAATTGGGGGGAAGTTAAAATTTCAGGATTTTGTTATTATATATAGTATAGATTAGATTGCAATAGGAATTGCATTACATTATTTTATAATTTTAGAATAGAATTTTTACCCAGAATTATTGTACGAATGAGAAAGTAGAAATTAATATATTTTATTGGGAAGAGAGATTTTTTAGGAATTGGGTGGGAAGTTAAAATTTCAGGATTTTGTTATTATTATATAGTATAGATTAGATTGCAATAGGAATTGCATTACACTATTTTATAATTTTAGAATAGAATAGATTATTACCACTTATATTATTATTATTATTATTATTATTATTATTATTATTATTATTATTATTATTATTATTATTATTATTATTTTCCTGTCAAGTTCTGTTAGTATATAATGACCGTGATGCACAATAATAATATAACCATAATTAAATATTCTTGTATTTTTTTTCCATGAGGTACAATAATAATATAACTATAATTAAATATTCTTGTATTCTATATTCTTCTATAATTTCTATTGCCATCATTAATTATTTCATAGTTTACCATAATTAAATAATTTAACCAATACAATGAGTTTGTGCGGAAAAATGCTAGAAGGATTTACTTTTAATGGTATATAAATAGAATGTCCTATTATATTAGGAATAAGAATTTTAATGTAGAATTACAGTACGGAAAAGTAGAAAACAATATTAGGAATTATATTATATTATTTTATAATATTAGAATATGAATTTTAACATAGAATTATAATACAAATAGGAAATACAAATAGGAAAGCAGAAAATAATATATTTTATTAAAAAACTATATTTGTTTTATATATATAATAATATATAGAAGTATAGATATAAATGATCACAAAATCTCGCAAAATCTTATATTACCTCTTACTTAGAATAATCTAAGATTCCGTGAACAAAACGCTCCGATACAGTAACGCTAATTTGATAAAGCCTTTTGCTGGTAAGAGTTTAATGCGTACGGGGAAGCACAAGTATTTCTGCAAACAAACAAGCTGACAAAGCGAAGCTTTCCAATTCTCTCTTCTTTGACGATTGCATAAAACGAAGCTTCTGATATCGAACCCACTTTGTTTGGTCTCGGCGTAAATCAGTATGTATCAGTTACAAGCGTTCACACAGTTGAGAAACAGAGCAACTCGGACTGCCATCACTTATCTGGGTTCACTCGGCACTACCAGGTAGTATGTTTGATTTTTTTTTTTTTTTTTCAGAAAATAATTTGCGGCGAACATTCATAGACAACTGGGAATTGTATGGGGTTTGTCGTTTGGATTCAAGAATTATGTAATTGATGAGGAGATATATGGGATTTATGGAATTTCAATTCAATCTATTTGGTCACCAACAAAGATAGAACATAAATTGGCTAGCAACTGGAGTTAAAAAAAAAAAACACTTTCACTCATTATGAAGATCACTTAGTTAGTGACACCATCGTTAAAGATAATTTCAGATATTACTAGAAATCTATGATTTTCTATCTGAAGATTTCAATACTTAAATTTCTCCCCAGTTTCATATATATAAATGATCAAATCCGAACCTGTGAATCAATATGAATGCACACAAACTATTCCAAAGAAGATTGTGTGCATTGTACACTAGAATCTGAGATTGTGTAAACATTTATGTAAATGCTTGATTGCTTGTGTGCATTTATGTACAAGATTGGAAAATCACTATATATATATATATATATATATATATATATATATATATATATATATATATATATTGTCTAGTCTAGTTTAGATGTGAGTGTATAAAATAGTTTGCCAAATTTTTGGGCATTTAGACCCAGCTTGGCTGTAGATGAGTCTTTTTTTTTTAATTTTATTTATTTATTTTTTTAAATAATAATTTTTCTTCATAAAGAGTAACTTGTAGTTGGTTCTTTCATTCATTATTTAATACATGTAGACCCAACCATTCCCGGCCCTATGCCAATGAAGAAGTGGGAACCAGAGCGAGCCATTCTTTGCCATTTGCAACTTTGAATGTTGAAGATATATCCGGTTCTCAACCTGCTGAAGTACACAACTTAGGTATGTAATGCGAATAGTATCAGATCATTTCCTACCTAGAAGTGATTTTGTTGTTAACATTTATAATAAGTGGGACATACTAACACTGTTCTAAGATTATTATAGTGTCTTATTATCTATAGATATTATGCATTCAGTGACATGTTATTGGCTGATTGGCTCCTCTGTTATTTCTACAGTTTTTGGTATTAGATTAGTTCCCTTCAACTTTAATTTAATTCAAACAGTGCATATAAGAGGGATTCATTTTCTTAGTGCAGGGAAATTGGATAAGATCTTCCAGTTGGAACACAATATTGGATCCCCTAAATGGGGAGTCATTTATTAAAGTTGCAGAAGTACAAGACGCAGAACTGCAGGTACAAATTCAATAAGATATTGTTCTTCCTGCATTTTTTTCCTTTTGTAGTGGTTGTATAAAATTTTTACATTTGCTTTGCTGTTGGTCTGGTTTGAATGAATCAGCTCCGCTTCTCTTACAATTTAAATGTCAAACTTTTAACATTGTGATTGTTTCTTTGTCTTGATTTTCCAATGTGCAGCCATTCTTGGAGAGCATGAGAAAGTGCCCCAAACATGGCCTACATAATCCATTTAAGGCACCAGAAAGGTATGCTAACATAATCTAGCTTTTTTTAGATGGGAGAGAAAAACAAAAATTCAGCATTGACAGTTAAATCCGAAAACAAAACAAAGCAAAAATAAACATGGTTGTCTAATGATATATTAGTCATGGAGATGTAACATTTCTTCATTAGATTGAAATATGAAAATTGATATAAGATTGTTGATGCTTTTACAGATATCTAATGTTGGGAGACATATCTACAAAGGCAGCTCATATGCTATCATTGCCTGAAGTAATATTTCAAGAAATGATAATTTATATCCCTTAATACTTCAATATAATTTATAATGATTTAGATTGTTGAAGACTGTGGTTTGTTTAATAATTTATTTTATCAATAACTTTCAGGTTTCTGATTTCTTCACAAGGTTAATACAGAGGGTGTCTCCTAAGAGTTACCAGCAAGCTCTGGCTGAAGTTTTTGTCACACAAAAGTTTTTGGAAAATTTTTCTGGTGATCAGGTACAAAACCTCTAAGTTAAGCTATTGGTTCATATGAGCAATATATAAAAGGAAGAGACAAAAATGAGGGAATTTTCATTGAATGGCTACTATTAACTTTGGCAGTAAGAAAGTTGGATAGAGTTATAGAATCCATACAGCTGACCAGGCAGGCCCAAACTAGATTAGGACTAAGACTTATTTTAAGTTGTTTTACCTTTTCTAGATCCAGTAATGTGATTGTTTCTTTCACACCCATGGTTTTTTAGATTTCACAAAGATGACAGGGACCTAAAAGTTCTCTCATATTTTTTCGCTTTCAATCTGGCAGGTTCGATTTCTGGCAAGGTCTTTTGGAGTACCTGGAAATCATCTTGGACAGCAGAGCCATGGTTTCCGCTGGCCTTATGGTCCGGTAAGGCGTTCATTATATAAATTCTCAATTCAATGCAATACAACTGCGCAAAAGAGGCTTCCTAGTATACTATTTTATTTTATTTTATTTTTACTGCTTTATGCCTTTTACTAGTAAACTATTTGTTTTTACATTATTTTCCTGATTATCAATAAATAATCCATTAGTTATGGATTTTCATTATTCTGAAGTTTTAAACTCAAATCACTTTTCTCAACTGAACTCCCTCAGCCATTTTCAATCATTTTGAGTCAGCTACATTAATCAGTTTCCTCCATGGAATATGTCCCCAGGGTTTGTTCACCTTTAAACCACAAGGTCTCATATTATTTTGTTTACTATGTTACATGTTACTGTTGCTCTTCTAAGATATTATATCTATAGGTGCGTCTTTAGGCCATCTTTGACAGTCAAATTATTATCTTCTTAAAACAATCGTTTTTCAAATTATTTAGTTGCCACCCATTTGCACTTGTTTTGGCTCATATCCATCTCAACCTACTCAATTATTCTATCCTATCATTGTGATGTAGGAGCATATAATAACACTTGACCACTTTCTGTCTATTCATTTGTTTATGATATTCATCATTTATCATGAAAGTTTGTCGTTGAAAATTTTGACATTCAGGTGGCCATTGTTACTCCCTTTAATTTTCCCTTGGAGATTCCTGTACTTCAGTTGATGGGTGCATTATACATGGGAAATAAGCCAGTTCTTAAAGTTGATAGCAAGGTATAATTTTGCAAGTTCTTAGTAACTCAAAATGCTTGGAAACTCCTATATTTGGCAAGCTAATATCAACCTAACAATTAGGTCTACAAATTACATTTGCATCATTTTATGATGACATCATGGCTTCTAATTTTTCTTCAGGTGTGCATTGTAATGGAACAAATGCTTCGTCTGCTTCATGATTGTGGGCTACCATTAGAGGATGTTGATTTCTTAAATTCTGATGGAAAGACAATGAACAAACTACTTCTAGAGGTTGGTTCCTCAAATTCTTCTCTTTATAGATAAGTGTTGCAATGACGGGCCACTTGACAGTAACCAGTTATCTCCCAATTCATTTCTGACCATTAAACAGTTTTCTTTCTAGAGTTTTGTCACATTCAATCTTTTCTATTTAATATTAGAGAATTGCAATATCTCTAAACCCAGTCAGTAATTGCTGATTGTTTCCTTCAAGTTTTTAACTTGGGGGGTCATGCTGTAAACGTCAACACCAATTCATTGCAATTAGATTATGCTCCTGCCTTAAGTAAATAAAATAAAAAAGGGAAAGATATCTATATAGTGATTAAGAAAACACTTACAGAACTAGAAGTGATGACTGTTGACATCAGTATTAGCAAAGGGGTTCACTAGTGGTGACTTTTGTCTCATTTCCATTTTACCTTTTCTTTAAAATTTTTTTTTTTTTTTTTTATATATACTGGGCTAGGGTTCTTGAATTTTAATGGAATAATGTTCAAATTGGCCACTGAACGTAACCTGAAAATGCAATTAGGCCACTGAACGAAAAAAAAGTGCAATTAGGCCATTGAACACTCAAAAAATGTGCAATTAGGCCACTGAATTCTCCAAACGTATGCAATTTTACCGGATAGCAGGTTACCATCAATTTTACGTGGCAGCTTAGTTGGCATTTTTAATAATTTTTAAATAATTTTTAATAATTAATTTTAATAATAAATTTTATAAAAAATTGGAAAAGATTAAATAAAAAATAAAATAAAGTCGTTTTTATTTTTTAAAATTTTTTAATAAAAATTTATTATTAAAATTTATTAAAAATTAATTAAAATTTATTAAAAATGCCAACTCAGCTGCCACGTAAGCAGATAACCTGCTAAAATTGAGGGTAACCTGCTATCAGGTGAAATTGCACATTTTTGGAGTGTTCAGTGGCCTAATTGCACTTTTTTTTTTTCGTTCAGTGGCCTAATTGCATTTTCAGGTTACGTTCAGTGGCCAATTTGAACCTTATTCCAATTTTAATTAGGCAAGATCCTTGTGTCCTCTTTGCAAGTTTGCATTCTTTTCTTGTTTTTGCATCAACACAGATCTAAATGTTTTCTCAGAAAATGATTTACTTTTGTTTTTCCTATACCTGAAGTGGCTGGATTTGTTCTTTTGAGATGTTGAGTTGGTTTCATGATTCCGGCTGTTTTCTGACTGCATTTATTTCTTTCTCTCTTTCTCTGTCTTCTCCTCCTAAAGCTTTTCTGTCTTCCCCATTATCATTGTTGTTTTATTGCTTTCTTTTATTGATATATTTATGTTTACATAAAATAATTCTTGCACTGGTCAGTCTACTTCAATGAAAAAAAGTAATCTCTTTCCATAGAAAGTGTTGTCTTGATTGGAAATTGATAATTTAATGCAAGATACCACACATGATATAACAGATAAAGTAAAAATGTCTCCTCTGAGATTGCCTCAAAGTGTTTGGTTTTTGCATGTCGGATTATCTTGGAAATGAGGGGGGTGTGTGTGTGTGTGTGTGTGTGTGTGTGTGTGTGTGTGTGTGCACATTTAGGGGAAACCAAAGCCCATAAGGTGTTGGATACTTTGAATAAAACTATTAAACATATCCTCATTTATAACAAATTTATGGAAATGTTGCTTTCAGCAGACCAGAATGGTCTTTCAGAATCCATGCAGCCAACCTGACTTAGTAGAAAAATGCTTTGATTTGGTTTACTCTACTTGTGTATCTAAAATTTTAAACCTTTAAACTGTAACCATTAGGGAAAACCACGCATGACTCTATTCACTGGTAGCTCGAGAGTAGCAGAGAAGTTAGCAGGGGACCTTAAAGGTCGCATCAAGCTGGAAGATGCTGGATTTGACTGGAAGATCCTTGGCCCTGATGTTGATGAGGTTTACACAATGAACATGACAATGGCTTATCTTATGTCTGTTTATGTTTTAAACGTAGTGTAATTCCCATACATTTTTTTGATAGGTGGATTACATTGCGTGGGTTTGCGATCAAGATGCCTACGCATGTAGTGGTCAGAAGTGCTCAGCTCAATCAATACTTTTTATGCACGAGGTTCGCTATTACTATTCCTGTCCTGTCTGTCTTTTAGTTTTTTAATCAACTGATTCATTTTTGTTTTTGGTTTCTTCGTAAAATAGAATGTCAGTTGGTATATTTATAAAGAGACAATAACGTCTCCCGTCTTGTGTGCAGAATTGGAGCAAAAGTCCCCTCATCAACTTAATGAGCTCACTCGCTGCAAGAAGAAAGCTAGATGACTTAACAGTTGGTCCTGTTCTCACTGTATGTGCTTCTACTTCTCTTAGGTGTTTGGGTATTGATTATTGGTTGGTTGTATAAAATGAAAGATCTTTGAATGATGGTTGGAAATCTCTACTAACTATACTGAATTATGCAGAACAATAGTTATGCCTTTTTTACATTTTGCAGTTTACAACCAAAGCGATGTTAGACCATATGAATAAATTGCTTCAGATACCAGGATCAAAGCTTCTCTTCGGTGGTGAACCCTTGGAAAATCATTCCATCCCTTCAATTTATGGTGCCATTAGACCAACTGCCGTTTTTGTTCCTCTAGAAGAAATCCTAAAGGATGAAAATTACGATCTTGTGACAACCGAAGTTTTTGGCCCATTCCAGGTAATAGCTCCGTGTTTGGACTAGTTTTATTTTGATAGATTATACTGATTTATCTATGGCGTTGTAACTTGATGTGGTGTCTCCGCAAATAACTTTCTTATGTGCTAACAAACTGTCATCTATATGAACTTTTGTTGGCAGATAGTCACTGAATACAAAGATAATCAACTGCCCTTGGTCTTGAATGCCCTTGAAAGGATGGATGCAAATTTAACGGCTGCTGTAGTTTCAAATGATCAACTGTTCCTGCAAGTAAGATTAACACGTTTTTTGGGGGTAATCCAGCCTAGATGTCTAAGGATATAAACTTGTAACCACGAGGTCACAAGTTTGAATCCCAGCCTTCTAGTTTTAGCCGGTCAGCTATGGGCAACCTAGGCTGATTTACCTCCTTGTGGTTCATTGTCGGCTTTTGATATTATATTTGCATCAATGCATGTAACCAATTTGCCAGTTGCTCTCCAAATGAAACCGTCTTGTCCTCTATCTGCAGGAAGTGATCGGAAATTCTGTTAATGGAACTACTTATGCCGGAATCAGAGCAAGAACGACAGGGGCACCACAAAATCACTGGTAAGTAGAAGTAGAAGGTTATATACTTTTGAGTAGGGATGACAACGGAGCGGGGGTTATACTCCCTGTTCTTGCAACCCCGACCCCATCTCCGTCCCCGGCGGATCCCCGTGGGGACGGGGACGGGACGGGGATTCCCTGTCCCCAATCAACTCCTCCCCATTCCTGATCCTCGAAAATTTTCCCCATTGCCATTCCTACTTTTGAGTTGGGTATTTGGGCACTTGTTGATTGCTTCTAGTAAGCTAAAGAAGTGATGCCTGGCAGGTTCGGTCCGGCCGGAGATCCGAGAGGAGCCGGAATTGGGACACCGGAAGCAATAAAGCTAGTTTGGTCATGCCATAGAGAAATTATATATGATATTGGCCCTGTATCGCCAGCATGGAAACTTCCGCAAGCGACGTAATAGGGAAATCCACTGATCATTAGCCTGCAATTTGGTTTGTAGTTAATTGTAGGAATGGAATGAATCTGATAAATTATATGTCACTATTAGAAATAATGCATCTTTTATTCTTCTACCGGAATACAATAGAGGAGAATTCTTTTCATGTTTATTTAATGTTATATAGACTAGATATTTTAATTATGCTTATGCATTATTGGGAATGATTTATGTCATTATGGATTTATGATATTAATATTTTTTATCTGTATTTCTATAATGATTCAATTGTACATTACTTTACACGTATTGTACTATTATTTTTTATCGGCCAAAATAGCTCTTACATCATTAAAGTTTTATACATACATAAATGGAGGGGTTTCCCGTACGGTTGTGTGGTTGGACTCACATTAAGCATTAAACTGTCGCACTTTAAGTACACAACACACGCACATAATCAAAATACCTTCAGAACACGAACTCACGTATCTTAAGCACACAAAACTCACGCATCTTAAGCACAACCATCACGCATCTGAAGCACAAAACTCACGCACCTTAAGCACAAAAACAAACGCATCTTAAGTTTCAACAATTACTCACATTAAGCACAAACTCACGCACCTTACGTACAAGACTCACACACCTTAAGTACAAAACTCACGTACCTTAAGCACAAAACTCATGCACCTTAAGTTTCAACAACTAATCTACGCACCTTAAGTACAAAACTCACACACATTACTCACCACACGGGAAGCATGCACTCGCATTGGAACTTAATTATATATATATATATATATATATATATATATATATATATATATATATATATATAAACATACGACGTCAATTTTTACTAAAAGTTGACGTCGTATCATTTATTTATTACGTCTGCCAGATTAACGTCGAAAAAACCCGACATTGTTTGTATTCAAAAACCGACGTTAAAAGTGATAATTGTAATAGTGTTTAGACATGTATTTACTAATTTGGCTAACAACATGAGCCAAATCAGGTTGAGTACAAACCATAGCATACATTAAAGTAATTTTATTTCTCAAGTTCAAGCTCGTAGTTAATTATTTTTAAATTATGTACTTATATATGTTACAATTGTCTTATTTATTTATTTTTATTTTGAAATTATAAAATACATAAACATATGTTAAAGGTATTAAAGTAAAAAAAAAAAAAAAAAAAAAACAACAACAATATAACATAAAACATAACACCTAAACCAAACATATTTATATTAGATTTAACCAAATACAAAAATTTAACATTTCCAATAATCATAGATTCCATAAGGTAATCTAGTGACAAATATACAAATGTAGCAACTTTAGGTAATAATCTACATTAGTATACAGACACACACATGCATTTATTTATTTATGGAATAAGGGTCAAATAGGCCACTCAATTGCACAACAAAGTACAATTAGGTCATCGAACTAAAAAAAAAAATGTAATTGAATTCCTGAACATAAATTCATACAATTAGGTCTAAAATGATCTATTTACCTGCTGTGGAGGTTCGAATTTTAAAATAATTTTAAATAAAATAATTAATTAAAAAAAAAAAAAAACAAAAAACAGCATGGTCGAAGACGTTTCGTCTCTGGCCGGCTTCGTCTCCATGGCAGGAGACGAAGCCCTTCGTCTCCTGGCCAGGGAGACGAAGTTCGCCGGTCGGAGACGGTTCGTCTCTGGCTGTGCTGTTTTTTTTTTTTTTTTTTTTTTTTTTTAATATTTATTTTTGATTTTAATTAATTATTTTATTTAAAATTATTTTAAAAATTCGCAACTTTCACGTTAGCAAAGTTTAAGGTAAACAGGTCATTTTAGACCTAATTGCATGAATTTGTGTTGTTCAGGGACCCAATTATATTATTTTTAGTTTGATGGTCTAATTGCACTTTGGTGTGCAGTTGAGTGGCCTATTTGACTCTTATCCCTTTATTTATTTTTTTTTGAAAATTTATCCCTTTATTTATTTATTTATTGAGGATCCAACTTTTATATTTTTCAGTCCACAAATTAGGACTTAAAATTTGTTTATTTATGATGAAATTAAGGGATTGATCATGTGAATTGTTGTGTATTTTGAAATATTTTAACTTATTGTGAGGGAGTATACTCCCTGTCCCTGCAATCCCGGCCCCATCCCCGGCGGATCCCCGTGGGGACGGGGATTCCCTGTCCCCAATAAACTCCCCGTCCTTGATCCTTGAAAATTTTCCCCATTGCTATCCCTACTTTTGAGTTGGGTATTTGGGCACTTGTTGATTTGCTTCTAGTAAGCTAACCAAGTGATGGCTGGCAGGTTCGGTCCGGCCGGAGATCCGAGAGGAGCCGGAATTGGGACACCGGAAGCAATAAAGCTAGTTTGGTCATGCCATAGAGAAATTATATATGATATTGGCCCTGTATCGCCAGCATGGAAACTTCCGCAAGCGACGTAATAGGGAAATCCACTGATCATTAGCCTGCAATTTGGTTCGCAGACAATTGTAGGAATGGAATGAATCTGATAAATGATATATGTCACTATTAGATGCATCTTTTATTCTTCTACCGGAATATAATAGAAGAGAATTCTTTTCATGGTTTCCCAAATTTAATGTTATATAGACTCAATATTTTAATTATATTTATGCATTATTGAGAATGATTTATGTCATTATGGATTTATGATATTAATATTTTTTATCTGTATTTTTCTATAATGATACAATTGTACCGTATTGTACTATTATTTTTTATCAGACAAAATAGTTCTTACATCATTAAAGTTTCATATATATATATATATATATATATATATATATATATATATATATATATATATAGGCGAGTTCAGGTGCGGCGGTGTCTTACGGTGCGGTGATTTCTTACAGTGCGGCATCACCAATAGTTCAACAAATATGCACCATCAACGTTAGGAAAATACACCACAAAAAACAGAGTAAACAGAGCCCCGCATCACCAAACACACACCATTAGGTGTGAGTAAAGACACCATACACTATTCGGAAATACACCATTGGGGGTGGTGAGTTATATGGTGTATTTTTTTGAGTCTGTTGTGTATTTTGTGATGTTTTATTGCATTTCATTGTGGTGTGTTTTTCTTACACTGTTGGTGCATATTGTTAACACTGTTGGTGTATTCTGGAATTCCGCCGCACCGCCGCACGGGAAGACCCCGCCGCATTTGAACTTTATTTTATATATATATATATATATATATATATATATATATATATATATATATATATATATATGTGTGTGTGTGTGTGTGTGTGTGTGTGTGTGTGTGTGTGTGTGTGTGTGTGTGTGTGTGTGTGTGTGTGTGTGTGTGTGTGTGTGTGGAAGGGATAAGGTGCGGGGGGGGGGGGGGGCTTTCCGTGCGGTTGGCTTCACATTAAGCATTAAACTGCTGCATTTTAAGTACACAACACACGCACATCAAGCACACAAACAAAATACCTTCAGAACACAAATTCACGCACTTTAAGCATAAAACTTACGCATCCTAAGCACAACCCTCATGCACCTTAAGCACAAAACTCACACACTTCAAGCACAAAAACGCACGCATCTTAAGTTTCAACAATTGTTCACATTAAGTACAAACTCACGCATCTTAAGCACAAGACTCACGCACCTTAAGTACAAAACTCATGCACCTTAAGCACAAAACTCATGCACCTTAAGTTTCAATAACTATTCACATTAAGTACACACCCACACACCTTAAGCAGAAGCTTCACACACCTTAAGTACAAAACTCACGCACATTACTCACCGTACAACCACACGGGAAGCATGCACTCGCATTGGAACTTAATTATATATATATATATATATATATATATATATATATATATATATATATATATATATATATATATATATATATATAAACATACGACGTCAATTTTTACTAAAAGTTGACGTCGTATCATTTATTTATTACGTCTGCCAGATTAACGTCGAAAAAACCAACATTGTTTGTATTCAAAATCCGACGTTAAAAGTGATAATTGTAATTGTGTTTAGACATATATATATATATATATATATATATATATATATATATATATGATAACACCTAAACCAAATATATTATAACCAAATACAAAAATTTAACATTTCCAATAATCTTAGATTCCATAAGGTAATCTAGTGACAAATATACAAATGTAACAACTTTAGGTAATAATCTACATTAGTATACGGACACACACATGCATTTATTTATTTTTATGGAATAAGGGTCAAATAGGCCACTCAATTGTACACCAAAGTACAATTAGACCATCAAACTCAAAAAAGAAATGTAATTGGATCGCTGAACAATACAAATTTATGCAATTAGGTCTAAAATGATCTGTTTACCTGCTGTGGAGGTTTCAAATTTTAAAATAATTTTAAATAAAAAAATTAATTAAAAAACAAGAAGAAGAAAAAAAAACAGCACGGGCAAGACGAAACGTCTCCGGCCGACTTCGTCTCCATGACGAGAGATGAAGCCCTTTGTTTCATGCCATGGAGAAGAAGACCTTCGTCTCTATGGCTGGAGACGTCTCCGGCCATGGAGGAGACGAAGGATGGAGACAAAGGTCTTCGTCTCCTGGCCAGGGAGACGAAGTTCGCCGGCCGCTGTGCTTTTTTATTTTTTTATTTTTTTATTTTTGATTTTTAATTAATTATTTTATTTAAAATTATTTTTTAAATTCGCAACCGCCACGTCAGTAAAGTTTAAGGTAAACAGGTCATTTTGGACCTAATTGTATGAATTTGTGTTGTTTAAGGACCCAATTGTATTTTTTTTTTGTTCGATGGCCTAATTGCACTTTGCTATGCAGTTGAATGACCTAATTGACCCTTATTCCTTTATTTATTTATTGAGGATCCAATTTTTATATTTTTCAGTCCACAAATTGGGACTTAAAATTTGTTTATTTATGATGAAATTGAGGGATTGATCATGTGAATTGTTGTGTACTTTGAGATATTTTAACTTATTTTTATTATGTCATTCATTACTTTAATTTGTATTTATATGGTGTTTAATTTGGATAAAGTGTTATTATTGCATATTATACTTAAAATCAAGATAGTTTAAAGTTCGTAACAACCATTATTATTGAG